CATACATACATACATACATACATACATACATACATACATACATACATACATACATACATACAATTTTCCTTTGTAGCTTTGTTTTTTGCCACTTGGCTACTCGCTTTGACGAATCGAAATAATGTATTAAAATTAACCTTTCCAATTGGACGGCTCTGCCATCCAGAGAACGGATGCTTCCTTTTGCTTTGTCCGCTGTGAATGAAGCAAGGTTCCAGCCCTCGCTGAAGCGGGGAGGGCAAATTCAAACCCAGGGCTCTGCTTCCACCCTGGGAAATCTCTTCCCCACCCCCACCCCTTTCCTCTTCGCTGGCTCCTGATAACCCGGCCTCTCTTTGTGGCAGTTTTCTGCATCTATTACGTCAGCCGGGGGATCCTGCAGGAGAATCGCCAGGAGCTGGTTGTCTTCGTCCTCTCTGTCGTCTTGGTCATGCTGCGCTCCGTGATCAACTTCACTGTCCTGCCCGCCAAGCAGAAGCCGGAGTTGTTGGTGAGCATCGGGCTGGAGATCCCTCCTTCAATGTTGGTGATGGCGAGGAGGCATCCCGTGTGAACTCACAGGGGAGGATCGGGGGGGAGGGGTCCGATGAGCGAAGTGGGGTTCCCCTTTCCAGCCCCCCTAAATTGCCTTCTCCCACCAGGCCCGCTTCGTCCTGATCCTTCTGGTGGGAGCCTTTGACGTCTCCTGCGCCATGATCCTGATTCAGAGCGAGAGCCGGATGGCCTTCCGAGTGGGTGGCGCGTTGGAGAGCCTCCAAGCCCAGTATTTCATGCTGAACCTCTGCTTTTCCATGCTGACCTTTGACCTCCAGGCTCAGGTAATCCCTGGCACCAAACCAATGTTCCTATTTGGAGCCCTGATCCTGTCCTGTCACTTGGGCTTCACGGATGTCCCCATTTCTGACAACAAAGACCACCAACGAATCAGCGGAGATGTTTTTAACTCACTTTCTACATGTTGACCTTTTTTTGGTTTCTGGTCCAGAGTGGCCTGGGCTACAGTTCTAATTATTCTGCCACGAGAGAGAGATGGGCTCTGTAATACTGTTGGAAGCCACCAGAATGGGAATGGGGGATTATCTCTTGAAGCTGGGCATTTTTAGGACCTGTGTCTACAATATGTAAGGCCACACTTGGAATACGGCATTCAGTTTTGGTTGCCATGATGCCGAAAAGATATTGAGACTCTAGAAAGAGTGCAGAAAAGAGCAACAAAGATAATTAGGGGACTGGAGGCTAAAACATACGAAGAACGGTTGCAGGAACTGGGTGTGTCTAGTTGAATGAAAAGAAGGACTAGGGGAGACAGGATAGCAGTCTTCCAATATCTCAGGAGTTGCCACAAAGAAGAGGGACTCAAGCTATTCTCCAGGGCACCTGAGGGCAGGACAAGAAGCAATGGGTGGAAACTAATCAAGGAGAGAAGCAACTTAGAACTGAGGAGAAATTTC